CAGTGAAAGGAGACACAAATCCAGAGTTGTTTTCATTATTCTTAATTTGATCAAATAAATACCATTTTCAATCTAATCGGCAAAAAACCAACTTACATGTAATATCCAAAATCAAAACAGTAAGTAAATATAAAGTCATATGAGATTACTTTCATAGTTTTCGGTCTTAAACTGTTGAGCATTGTTGATTAATCTACGACAGGAAGGACACGCGATGCAGAACGAATCTCACCTCAGCTGTAGTGAGATTATAATAAAACGCTGAACCGTCGATAGCTTTCCAATCAACACCTCGCTGAAACCCGGCACACCTGTGATATTAGAGAAATCAAAAAGCAAATTATTAACTTCAAGTCAAGGAGTTAATCCAAGAACGTGCTTCTTAGGTCCTTGGTGAAAGAGCTTTTAAGGTGCTCCATTATTCAAAATTTTTGTTAAACGACCACAATATCATGAAAAAAGCCAAAGACGTCTGGTATCAAGTCTTCGGGAATGCAGTGGATGATGGATGACAGATATTATGGCCACCACTTTTTCTATTACGGTAAACGGACGGCCATACACAAAAACTAACGTGATGTGATACTCACGTATTGGGCCGAGCAGCGCCTTCCAAGTCCAGCAGATTATTGCAAAATGTCTTCAGCCCGACCGTCACCAGACACGCCTCCACAAGGACGAAGAAGGCCATGACACCAAAGACAATGGTGACAACAAACCGGCCGCACGCTTGTCTGGAGATCGGCAGGAAATGAGATTTAAATACCAGGGGTTGATAATGGAAGTGCAGACCAAATCCACTAAAGACAGTAATTTCATAGAGCTGCTTAAACCAAATCTGACCGTAAAGGACCACTTACGTTTGCAGGCCAATTAACAAAAATGCGAAAAGAATTCACAATTTCCTTACATTGTATCATGCCTGCCTTGCTTGAGCCAAAAAATTATCGCTTTAAGTGTCACCCTAATGCTCTCTCAAAAGCTCCAACTGAAGTATATTTCAAGAACTTACAAGACTGATATTTTAACCCTATTTGTGCATCTCAAAACGTCAACTTGCCAGTGTTCTCAGAATATTTTCCTGGTGAGAAAATCTCGGGCAATTGTTTCCTGCTGTGACAGTATTGCCTCAATATGGTCCCTTTTCACAAAACAGAAAATTGCATTTAGCGGGTTTCTCATCAATTTGGATCAATAATACAGCAAGGTACGCTTTTGTGATTCTGGCACGGTTTATGTCTGCTGAGTAATGAATACATAGTAAATCTAGAATCAAACCGAGCCCCAGCCCATGATTTGCCATTTTATTACCACTATAAAACTTTTCCCTCACAGATTTATGCAAATGGTTTTGTTTCTTCTTTGCTGAAGGATAACGTTTTTGACAATGAGTGGCAGGCAGATGACAAATGGACTGTGGGAAGGCTACTGTACATGAGGCAAGTTGTAAAGTGCTCTTGCACTGGGTGTCTACTTCGGAGTCGTAATGTGTACCAGTACAAAAGTCATGTGCTACCAACAACTCGAGAACTCAGCAGACTTTTTTCACCTATGTGACTGGAGTGCACAAATGTAAGCAATACCACCACGTGTGGACCGTCTTGGCCACGATGATTACATATATTCCTACGGGCAGCTTCAACCACGTACAGGTGCACATGCGAACGCTGCATACTTGACTAGTTTATCTTGAATGGGTATATTACCATCACAACACATCACAGGTACAGCATGATCGTAACATCACAGGAAAAAGGTATATAACTCATGGGCTAAGGCTCGGTAGGATACTAGATTTGCTATGTATGCATACCCAATACACAAAAATAGTGCCAGAATCACAAAAGTGTACCTTTCTGTATCAATTCCTCAAACTGAGGAAAAAACCCCAAAATGCAATTGTCTGTTTTGTTAAAAATGACCATATTGGAGGCAATACTGTCATAGCAGGATACAATTGCCCAAGATTTTCTGAAAAGACCATCGTTGGCCCTAATCACACCCAAAAGAAAATTATTCTGAGACCCCTGGCAAGTTTTGGGATGCAAAACTTGGGTGAAAAGGTCAATTTTGCAAGCTCTAAAAAATACTTAAAAGCAAGTTATTAAAAGAGCATAAGGATGACACTTAAAGTATTTTTGTCTCAAGCAGAGGCAAGGCTCACACTTCAAAGCAATATAAGTGGATGTGTGACATATTCTTGCACTTTGGTTTGGTGGACTTTAAAAAAAATGAGCTAAAACCCAGCTTTTAAAGAGCCCCAAGTCAGCTTAAAATGCCAATAACACAAAACGAGCTGTTTCCATGGCAACGGGCGACATATGGATTTGAAAAGTCTATTTCGTTTACTTGCACCCCAAGTCCTCTCATCCTACAAAGTATGAAAAAAAAACTTCACCGTGGACACATGTCAGGTATTTATGTGAAATGACTCTTAATATCTTCCCATTAATTTCGGGGCAGGTTTTTTTACCCCGAAAATTGATTGCACTTTTTTTTAATCTTCCCATCATTGCAATGTTGTGGCTTCTCCTAACGACGGCCTGTTGCCTTATTACTCTGTGCAACAAGTATTAAGTGGTACTGTGCGTTGCGAGTACAGTCCTTAAACGACACAGAGTTTTGCTTGTTTCTTTCTTGTACTTCTTGACTTTCTTACATTTCCAGTTTTCCCCGACAGATGACCTGGATCCGATACGCGATGAACACCAGCGCCAGCAGGATACCAACCACCTGCGTCACCAGACAGAACTGGCAACGGGATTGGCTAGAGTGCGTGACTGTAAAACGCTTGGAGTCCAGTCGAGCGACAGAAGCCTTCAGAACACAGCCGCCCATCTGAGTCTGCCGCAAAAGAGAGAGATAACAACACAAAAAGAGCCGCCGTCGACGTCGTCATCGGTCATGTGACCTAGACGGTTGTCACGAGAAGGTGTTTCTCGTGACCTGTTTCTGTTTCACACAGATCCGGATCGCGATCATTGACTTGACATTGGTTCATCCCGAGTAACTATGGATAGAGTGAACCAGCTTTGGGGTCACTGATCGAGGTCCAGATACCTATGAAACAGACATGGTTTGATATCTTCAAACAGAATTGTGATGCATGTCGTCGGGAAATTCATACGGTATCACCAATTTTGCAAGAGAACACTTCTGAATTTTTTGTCAAATAATGAAAACAAACTTCGAAGTTTTTTTTTTCAATAAGGTGTGGGCTGATAACGTCAATTTTTTTAAACTTCATAAAGTACATGTATGTTGTTTGTGTCTAACTAAAGAGAAGTTTAGCGGTTTTTTTTTGTCCGCTTTCAAAACAAGTGCTGTATGACATAAGGCCCATCTCAAAGAATCCCATGATGTACCACAAGATGGCGCCCTTTCACGCGATAACGTTAGCAATCCTTGTTTAATAATCTGCCTGCTGTTCATAACATTTTAATGATTTGGTTGATTGCAGAAAAGTCTTCAGTTTTAGTCATTATCCTAATCACTGCCTTTGCCCTTCCAGCTATCCAAAACGTGAGGTCACGTGATATACCTGCTCAACTAGGTTTCAAAATATGAACCTGCCTGAAAATATCAGAAATTACTGTTGTATGCATATTTTCCTGTCAACTTAGACTTTAAATTACTTGTAACTTGACACCTGATTACGTCATCTGATTAAAAAAAGTACATTTCGCTTCAAGGCTTATGGTGGTACCTTACTAATGTTAAAAAAAGATAGTAGCCAAATATCTCGAGCTTGTAGACACCAAATTTATAGAAATGACCCAACTACAGGCTATATAATATTAATGTTAAAACATCCAATAACGGCAGCCTCTAATACCTGGACCAAGATATTGACAAGACGATGAACTCTGACCCCATGACGTGTTGTAATATTTAACCTCCCGGACGCAGAACGTGGTCTGTACCGCAGACCATGCTGAATTCTGCACAGCTTCTCTCCATCTCTCACATGGCATCTACATCCCGCCGGGGGTGGGGATGTATACCCCTCCCCCCCTTTATGACGGGGTGGAACATAGGATTATCCCCCGGTTTTTGTGCCAAGCAGAAGTTTTGAAAATGCTCCTTATCACCCACAAGCCATCAATGAGGAGGCAGAAACAGTAATTTCACTGTCGGATTTTAGTCTTGGTTACAAGGAAGAGAGAGGCAGGGACTACAGGTCGAGGATTACAGTGCCATTATTAAGGTGTTTTTCATTATTTGGATAACTTCTGATCAATTCGAATTACTGTCCATTTCAGTTCATATCGAATGGAAGAGCCATTGCCATCCGTTCGTGCGTGGGCTCATAATTATTGTTTACAGGTTTTATTGGGAAAACTAGACCAAACATGGAAACAAACTTTAGTATACGTCGGTAAACCTTATGATAATGATCCATGATTTTGGATAAATTTCTTCAGGCAAAAAAGCGTTCTCAGGATTGAAGGATTGTGGGAAGGTATTGTGTTAATAAGGCATGTGAATTTGTTTTACTTATCACGATTGACTGATTCCGCAAAGACACTTGTTTAGTATGTACCCGAGTTTCATTTCCCGGTTGTAGGATTCTGGGGGAAAAAATGCGCCTGAGTTTTTTAATACTTCGTCATGGTTGGAGGATTCCGGGATAGAATTGTGCTAATAATGCACACAGGTTTTGTATTATTTGTCATGAATATAGGGTTTGGGGAAGACGCTTGTGTTACTACTAACCTGATTTCTGTTCGTTTGTGACGACTGAAGGGTTCCAGTAAAACAATTGTTACCTAGGTACCTGTGTTTTGTTTCATTTTTGTTTTGTTTTTTTTTACGAATGAAGGGTTCCGAGGAGACAACCCGAAGGGCCACAAGGGGAGAAATGTGTTTCGCCTGTTTTACAATACACTACAGTTTCCATATTATTTATCCTGCATAATGGGTTACGAGAAGACACCCTGAAGGGCTTGAAGGGCCTTGACGGAGAAGACTTCTTTTTGTTTCGCTTGCTTTAGCAATGCACCAGAGTTTTTCTTTTCATTTGTCATGATAGAATAAAGTGCCCTGGGAAGACACCCCGAGGGGCCTGATGGACCATATTGGAAGACTTGGAGTTCTGCATTTTATACTCCCTACATATAGTCTGACTGTCCTTCTATAAAAAAAATCCCTTTTTACTTCTTAGTTTGTAATCTTTGTACTGTCATTTGCAAAAGTTTAGGACCACCCGTAGAAAGTACATTAACCTGAAGGAAAACCAAACTTAAACCAATCAATTATGGCAACTTTTCAATATGTAACCCTCAACCTTGGTTGAACATTTTTGACTACATTTCCATGATTTGACATGTTAACAGTCTAATATTTAGTGTGCCCTCCCTTATTTCTGATTGCTTAGACTGGCTATCTTCGTTTTTTTCATGAAATTTGTAATTGACTCGTTAGTGATGCATTCAACGTTAATAATTTTTCAAGCTGTTTGTAAACAGAGGGTTGAAACACTCAGCCGCATTGTGATTTGTGAAACTCCCTCTCCCATGCTGTATAAACCAGATGTGATCTCTCAGAGGTATGGCGATTATTTTAATTCTGTTTTTGTACCCCCTGAAACAGAACTACCCAGTGTTCCACCTGAATGTGACTGTCCTCTTCCATCGGTCAAAACAGCTGATATCAGTAATCAAAATATTGTTAGAATGATTGACGACTTGCCAATGATAAATCCTCGGGTCCAGACAATACTACTCCACGGCTAGTGAAGTCGTGCTCTGGCATAATCTCACCAATTTTTTGTAATTTGTTCTGTATGTCTTTGCCTCAGGGTGAACTTCCCAGTATGAGGAAAAGAGCCAATATTACCCCCATTTTTAAATCACGTGATAGGAGTTCAATTTTAAATGACCGTCCCGTCGCATTGACTTCGATTGTGTGTAAATTATGGAGACAATTGCAGCCAATGCCCTCGGATCTCATCGAGGTGACTACTTGCTCTTGTTACCAGAGCAACACGGATTTATCAAAGGTCGGTCGTGCGTAACACAGCTTCTTAATGTTACCAACACGTGGTTAAAAATTCTTGACAAACCTCGCCCCCCAAATATTGATACGCTTTTTCTTGACTTCGCCAAAGCATTTGATGTAATGCTTCATGACATTCTACTCTGTATGTTGGCATAATTTACCCGGCAATGTATGGCAATGGATAAAATCCTTTGTTTCTGGCAGAGTCCAAAGAGTTTTAAACAAAGGTTCATTTTCACCGTGGCTGCCAGTGTTCTCAGGTGTACCTCACGGAAGTGTGTTAGGCCCAGTCTTGTTCGATTTATTCATTAACGATCTTCCCCCATGTACTTCATCTACTTGTTTATTGTTTGCCAATGATATGTTATTATATCGGCCAATAACCTGCCCAGAGGAGGAAAAAATTCTGCAAACAAGACCTTGATCAGATCCATTGTTGGTGTCTTAAGAATAGAATGTGCTTAAATATTAACAAAACGAAGCTAATGCAGGTTACATGGTCTAGAGATCCTCGTGTTCCCTCGTATACTCTGAACAATTTTCGTCTTAATATTGTTACAGAATATAAATAATTGTGAATCGTTTTGAGCAATAAGCTGACCTGGGATAATCATGTGCAGTATATTGTCACTAGGGCTAATAGAATGTTGGGTTTCATAACTAGTGTTGCTAGAGACCCCTGCACGAATGCTAAGCTTGCCCTCTATATGACCCTGCCAATTTTAGAATATGGCCAGCCCGTTTGGCATCTTTACACTGCAACGCTTGTTGATAAAATTGAAAACGTGCAACGTCGAGCCACCAGGATGATACTCGGACAGAGAAGACTGGAAATGGATTATGAAAACCCACTTAAACTTCTAGATTGGTCTTCGCTTAACTCAAGACGAAGGTTTTCATTGATTAGTTATGTGACGAAAGCATTGTACGGTGTATATGACATGCGATGTTGTCAGGCGGGACATCTCGGTGAACAGTCAGCAAGCTGACACTGTTAGGTTCAACCACCTCAGAGCTCCTACGCAGACTTCACTGTTCTGCGGTGAATACTTTCCCACGATTATTGAGATGAACTACCTGATTCACCGAGGTCTGGGGTGGTTGAGCTTTCATTTCAGAGGTGGGCCAATTTACTGAGATGTCACGTCTGCTTTCCTGTATGAATTGGACGGTGGGTGTTTAGTGATAACTGGTTCATTTTTATTCCGTTCGTTTTTAGGTGCTTCACATTTTACTCATAATTTTTATAGCTAATTATCTTGGATGTAAATACATATTACTTTATTGCCAGTGGCAGCGGAGTTGGAGGCCTCTAGGCCACAGTTTGTAAGTAAACTTTTACAACTCCTGGCATGTGCCTTTGGTTAAATCGTTTGTGTATTTTATTTTTCTGTATTGCTTTTTTTTGGTTATTATTGTTTGTTTTTGTTTTATGCCGAATAAATAATAATAATAATAACAGTATAATAAAACCTGGAATCAATTCCCCGTTTCCTGTGTTGTTCTAGTCAGTGTTCATCCAATAAAAACAAACTCTTCTCGTGTGGATATTAAAGCAAAGTGAAGGAGCATGAAAGTGCACGGATCTCACCTTAACCGAATTTTAATAGGGTGTCTTTGTGGCACCAATCATAGCGGTGTCACATGATTTCCTGCCCCTCTCCACCCTCATTGGTCATCCCTCATCCCCTTATTACTCACCATTACCAATCCATGCCACCAATTTCTCCTGCTAGCCAACCACTTACCGAAGTTACCCCAATCATTATGGATGCCGCCATTCCACATCCGAGAGCCACCAACAGAACGCCGACCTCCACGATGTTGACGATGGTCGTTTTGGCAGGCATCACTCTTCAGTTTAGGTATTACGACAAACCAGTGATGAAACAAGGTTATATCGTGGGCATGTAATATCTCTGGAGTGGCCGGCTAAAAGAAGTCAGGCTCGTCTATCCACGCTACCACGGTCACCACACCAGAACACGGAAGCAATTCTCTCTCAAGCGTTTGAACTGCTCGTTGTCAAGCTGCAGTGCAAACGGTACAATACATGCAATGGCAGATTTTCCACACATGTCCGGGTCAGCGCGCGCTGCGTGTGCATTATGGAGGACAAAACTGTATGTACGTGCAGTTGAGGCCATGCCGCGCCCTATACGTGGAATCTGCCAGGGGGCGCAACACCTGACCCCGTCAGGTCACGGCTGATCATTATTGTCGGGAATAGTTTCGATTTTGCTCTCTCAGCTTTCATTTCCTCCACATTTTTTTCTGTCATTTTCTTTTCTTGGGAAAAAACCTGTATATTCCGGCCTTCAGTATTTGCATGCTAATTTATGCGTCGGCGTTGTGCAGAAGAAACAGGAATTTCTGCCTGTTGAACTTGAAATAAAAATCAGCAGAAAATATTACGAAAGCGTACTTTAGATTAAGGAATAGCTCAATGCATTTTTACGCACTGTATGAACGATAATTATGTAAGCTACGGTCTGGTTTCAAAACGTGTTTTCCCTCTGGCCAAAGTGAATAATTAAGCACCTTTCAGTGCTTGGAAGGGACAATTTCGTATCAGCTACGTAGGCCCATTTTTCAAGTAGGTGATGCCTTAATAACAGGATTCAATTTCATATCAGGCGAGAGTGAATCGAAATATATTCAGTGCGTGCTTATATCATAAAACACACAGCTAGACTTGAAGAGCTGCGCTGAAGCCTCTTTAATCGAGACCATCGCCGTCACGCTGTTAATTGTAAAAAAAAAAAAAAAAAAAAGAGAGAAGGGATAGTCCTTTTTCATGCGTGGACCCCTTCGCTTATACCGGAGGGCCTGAAATGGAAATGAGCTCCGAGTCTAAGAAACAACAAAAATGCATGCTCCATTCCACTCTTGAAATTTAACATTTTTGATCAGTCATCGCTTCATAGAATTATTCGAACCACTGACAAATTGAGAAACATTCCTTTTTCCCTTTATAGGGTACCCCATAAATCTTCCTTTCACAAACACCGTTTTTTTATTCACTCGCTTCACCTCTTACTTACATACTTTCCTTTAATAAACAGCCATTCCTTTGTGGTGTCGCGCTCGCATTAATGTGTTGCCACGTGGGTACCATCCACCAATAAGGTGTCGGGACTTAAAAAGCGCACACGCTCTGAAGTTTAAGAATGCGCGCCGGCGGGAGTGTAGCGCCATTGATTCGTCTACACACCTGTATTTGCCGACTTCAAATATAAAATTTTGCCCACCGATGGTTGCCCAAACTATGGCTGGCCGTTATTACAAAACTAGAGGAATAATCCATAGAGTGCCAATTTATCAAGGTTTAACTTTCTGCAAACCTTAGCCGCCTATACAAAATGATGGTCAAAAAGGTCCATAGAATTGTCCAGAATCTATACAATACCATCTACATAAACACTTTTTTATTCACAGAATGTGTTGTAGGGCTGTAAAGTGAGGTACGACCCGATTTTTTAAAAGTCTCATCCGTACTATTCTACGATTCTCTAAGTTACGACTGGCTTGGCTCGTGCGGTGTGCTGAGCCCGGGCAAGACCCCCGATGCGCCTGTTGAGGCAGAAACTTGTTACCAAGGAGATTCCCATCAGACAAAGCCAACACAACAGGGAAATCCAAGACACGGCCTGTGAATCAAAGAAAAAAGGAAAGCGGGTGTGATATAGCGAGAGCTTTTCAGAGGATATAAAGCGAAAAGTTAGAGCCAACTGCAGACTTGGGGGATCGAGTTAGCGTAGCGGTTCTTTCCTCGCTTTGCACCAATGAGGCCCGGGTTCGAGTCCCGGCTTGACGCAGGCTTTAAGTGCATTTGGTTTCCAGTCCATACTCGCTCTCGTAGGTTTTCTCCGGGTACTCCGGTTTCCTCCTGCCTCTAAAACTGAACCTTCGTCCTAACTCCGTAATGTGATGCTGATTATTAAAGTGTATGAATAAACTTACAGTTATTGGCGCAAATAGCCTGAGTTGCTGAAAGCGCCATTAAAACAAAAACAACAACAACTGCAGACTTTGGAACCCAAAATGGCAGTTCACTGTGTGCAGTGGAGTATCATTTTGAGCTATCATGTGCTTGTTGTCCATACACACTGACGCATAAACAAGCATTTTGGTTCCAACAATTGACACACTCATGTTGCAACTCCTTATGCAGACGTATACACATGTACAAGTATACAGCTCTGAGTCTGGGTGTCCGGGTCCCCTTAATGAGCTGAACGCTGGGGCCACGTGACTATTTTGTTTGACTGATCAAAATGCACGCACATACAACAGGAAAGCGAAGTGGCTGAATCCTCGCCAAAACAGATAAAATTTCGTTTGTTTTTTGTTTTTGTCTTTTTCATGACTATGCAAAAGTACATGTACTCGGGTGCACTGCACTCTCAGTTGGGCAAAGGAACCGAGGACTTGAGCAAATAAACAGGACGATAACCACAAATCCAGACTTGTGTTTTTCGGTTTTTTTTTTCATTAATCTTGAATATAACACTGCGATTGTAGCGCCTCAATTAATTATTTGATCCAATAATGTCAGTTACAATCTAATCAGCAAAAACCCGACCCAACAGTCAATAAATAAAAACAAAATCATATGAGATCACTTTCATAGTTTTTCGGTCTTAAACTGTTGAGCGTTGTTGATTAATCTACGACAGGAAGGACACGCGATGCAGAACGAATCTCACCTCAGCTGTAGTGAGATTATAATAAAACGCCGAACCGTCGATACTTTGCCAATCAATACCTCCCTGAAACCCGGCACACCTGTAAAATTAGAAAGATGAAAAAAGGCATATGGCGCAAGATATGGGACGGAGAGAACCCCCCCGCGCCTTTGTGATGGTCAT